AGGGGCTCCACACAGGGACTCCGAGAATTGCGGGGTTTTCCTGGGAATGCAGGTTTGCGCGCCGGCGCCTCCCCAGGGGCTGTTGTGTCTCCCTGCTTCGCTGGTGCCCACCCGCTCGCAGCAGGGGGAGCAGGGCAGGCGGCGGGAGGAGTCTCAGCAGTGATTGGCTGAACCGGAGGTTGTTGCTAGGCTACCAGTCCGCGGGAGACTGGGTCCTGCGAAGTCCCATCCTCCATGGCAGATCCATCCCACACAGCCGACCTAATTAGTGCACCCTGTGAAAGGGATCTCCAGCAATTTAAATTGTCGGCTGCAAAATACCTATCTTTCTAGGATTTTTCACTTAGCAAGAAGCCTTGTGGAAGATGGGAAGAGAAGTGGTTTTTATTCTGAGTCACCTTGAATAGCTGCTTCTCTCTCTGGACCTCAGTGTCCTCCTTCAGTTCTTGGGGTTCATTCATTTATTCATTATTCATGTATGCATTCATGTTTATTAAATGCTTATGTTCCAAGCATTACATCAGGTGCTAGGGACAAAGAGATGAATGAGAAAGATACCATCCTTGCCCTCACGAAGGGAGAAACGTTAGGCGCTTAAGCAAGTAAATAAGATAAACATATCTAAATATCCCTTTCCTTCCCCTTCAGTGGCTTTTCTAACCACTCCCTCCTTTTCCCTAGTAGATCTGTGGGGTCTCTCAAGTTGACAGAGGTGGGAGTGCTGCCGCCAACGTACCTGTACTAACTCATCCCCTTTCTACACTCTGAAACAGGGGTACACACTCTTGTCTCTACGGTGCTTTTACATCTTTTGTATTCACATGTGAACCTGAACGCGCCTCAATAAAGACGTGGCACAGGGATAATTGTCCCCTGTTCAGATGAGAAAGCTGAAAGGCAGAAACATTAAGAAAGCTTATCCATGGTCCCATGAGGAATTACCAACATAACCAACATTGAGCGCTTATTATATGCAAGCACTTAAAAAAAGGATGTGCCTCATAGCAACTCAGTAAGATAAGTATTCTTATTCCCATATTATAGGTGGCAAATTGAGGCTGGAAGAAGTTATTTGACTTGCCAGTTATGGCCCACATAGTATGTGGCAAATCTGAGATTTGAACAAAATCTCTCTGACTCCAAAGCCTGAGCTCTTTCCAAGAAATGAATCTGATCATAGAAAACACTAAGACTCTCTGAGTGGCTGAGACTTAGAGCAGCTTCCAAATGACCTTCAAAACCTCCCAGTCCCAGGATCTTATTTATTTCTTTTTCTACTAAGGTTTTTAGCACTATAGACTCATAAAACCCAGTGAATTAGCCACACTTATCGATATAGTTCATTCCACTACCTATCCATCTATATGGGATCATCTTGCCTTTAAGCTTTCATTGGGAATTAAGTCAAGTAACTTTTCCTTGTGAGCACCTTCATCATTTGCTTTTCCTCCCTGTCCGGTTTCTATTTGCCTTTGTTCACACACTGAACAGACATTGAGCATCCACCAAGTGTCGTGGGAGGCTTGGTGGGTGTAGGTGAGTATGACCCATCCCCTGCCATGAGATGTTCTAAGCTTATAGCAAAGCTTTCTGAAGGGCTTTCTATGGAGAAAACACAATGATAGACCATAGACAGACTCATCCTAAGATAATACGAAGGTGTGAAAGGACCTGGTGAATGTGGGCTGGGGGTGGGAGCGGCGAAGCTTGGATTTCCTGCGTTGCTGCTTTTAAATCCCATCTTGCTGTGGTTGGTGTGGGACACCGCATCTCAGAGCCCAGCAGCCTGTAGCTTGGAAGCCTTTAAATGGGAGAAGGTTCTGGAAAGTACAGAGATGCATAAAGAAGCAAGCTAAATTTATCCCTCCTCGCAGCACCCAGCAATTGCTATGCTTAACACTTGACTTTCCACCAACAGAGACTTATTTAACCAGAAGATTCATTGCTTTTCCTCAGCTAGGAGAGTGGAGTGGGGGATCCGGTGTCTGGAGGGGGAGAGAGAGAGAGAGAGAGAGAGAGAGAGAGAGAGAGAGAGAGAGACAGAGAGAGAGAGAGACAGAGAGAGAGAGAGACTCTGAAGACAGAGACACACAGCAACCTGAAGAGAAGTAAGGGGAGGCAGAGATAAAGGCATCCTTTGGTACGTATCCCCAAAGAGCAACAGGAAAAAATATTAAACTGGGCACTTGAGTGGAAGAAATCAGACAATCTCCCGTCCCCTTTCTCTCTAGCAACACAATTTTGGCTAGCATATTGTTAATTTCCAGATAGCACTGTTTTCAGATGTAAGTATATTGGAGATGTCTATACTATTTCTATTATCTTGGACACTGTTTTGCTCCTGTCACCCACTACCACCCTTTGAGTTGACTGTAAATGGATAATATACAAAAGCCATGATTAAAATAAGCATTACAAAGGACTAAATATGCATGTCTTTGACCTAGCATTCCCACCTCTATGAATTATCCTAAGGAAAATAAGTAAGGACACAGGCATAAGGTTATTAATTGCAGCATTGTTTATAAAAGCAAAGAAACAAACTAAATAGCCAACCCCTTTGGGGGACCTGCTCAATAAATAATCTTATATCCTTACAATAGCTTTCCATACTGCTTATAAATTAGGTTATAAATGGGCACTTCTTGATGTGGAAAGACATGACTTGTTAGCTAAAAAGAATAAGTTACAAAATAGTGTAAATAGATTGACTCCATTAAAGTATTCTTATAAGTAAGAATAAATATAAAATATATAATCTAGGAAGATTTTTCTTTTTGCTTATCTGCATTAAAAAAATTTTTCCCCACAGTGAACATATATTTTTCTTGTGCAATAAGAACAAATTTCCTTCCATTGTCCCCAGCGAGAGCCTCCTGCTGGGTGTCCAGGAGTGTACAGGCAAGCTGAATCCAGTGCTTCTGGCTCCAAGGCCACCAACACTTTCGAGACCACTGCAAGTTGTTCATTAAAAATGCCAAAAACAGCATGTCCCCACCCTGGTTCGATTCCCCATCCTAACTGGTCTTGTGGACGAGAACTCAGGAACCCAACGCCTTGGTATGCAAATGCTCAGTTGTTTCATAACCTGCTGGTGGGTTGCCAGCTTCCTTCCCTTCCTTGAGGGAAAATGCTGTACAAGTTGGCACATGGTAAAGCTAACCTCACTAAAACCACAGGGCCTTCCCACCTTCCAGGAGCATCCTCCCCTCTAAGGGGGTGACAGCTAAGAAACTCTGTTGCTCAGATCAATCCTTACTACACATATGCAGTTGCATTTCTGAATGTTGGTGAGAAAAAGGCCATCACCATGGCAACCCAGGCTCACTCAGCCTCTGAGATCAGTCCAACACCCAGAGAAAGAAGGTGGGGTCGGAGTCAGAACAAACACTGCCTGGCTATCTCACCTTAAGCTAGACACTTAGCTTTTCTCTGCCTTAGTTTCTACATTCTGTAACATGATGCTGAAGCTCCTATACTACCCACCTCCAGAATTAATGAGGAATAATCTGTGAACTGTAAAACAGAAGAAGAGTAGAGCGTCACTAGCTTTGGTTTGTCCTTAAACTGCTGTAACTTTGGACAAATCACTTAACCTCTCTGTGCCTCAGCTGCTCTATTTAGGAAAACAATGCCCACTGTGATAACTTCCCAGATACATTGTCAAGCTCCCATGAGAATCCAAGAATTTCAAAATTAGAAGGAATCCTAGCCCTTACTGTCCATCCAGGAATCTCTGATAAGCACTCTAACCAGGGCACTTGCCCTGCCTCTGCTTGATTACTTCTAGTGGCAGAGAGCTCATGATTGCACGGCTTCCCAAGTAGCCATTGCTGTGACAATGACTGTAAGAAAGTTCTCCTATATAGAATGTTTCACAATTAAATATTTGTTTTAGCAGTCCTTTTTAGAGCTATTTTCACTCTTGATTTTTCCAGAGAGCTCGCACAAGGTAGATATTAGCAGCAATAGGCAAGAAGCAGGTACAGGTCCAGCTCCAGAAGCTTGTGGCTTAGTTTAGAGGAAGAAGTGTGGGTTCCAGGGTCACACACTCTAGGTTAAAACCCCACTTTGTCCACTTACTAGATGATTGACCTTGGAAAACTTATATTACCTCTCCAAGCCTCAGTTTCCTGATTAGTAAAGTTAGGACAGAGATATCTTCCTTATAGTATTCATGTGAGAATCAAGCATGATAGCACTTCTTACTAAGCCTACAACCCCAAACTTCCCCAGTGGAATTCTGGAGATTGGGGTGGAGGGTGGGTTACTCCTTTCTCTGCCACCCTCTGCACAACACATCTGGCCCCCGAGCCCTATCTGGCACATGTGCCCTGGCTGCTCTCCTCTCAAAAGGAGGAAGAATGTTCATCTCCGCCTCCTGGGGCACCTGCAGCACAGCCTGGCACAGCTGTGTTCCACTTCCAGGGCCGTCTCCCTCTCAGGCCTGTACCAGGGGCCATAAAGGGAAGATAATGCAATGGTTTCAAGACGTAGTTCACCTGTCTCTGAAATTCATCTACCTCAAGGCCAACAGCCTCCCCCCAACTCCACCCTCATATTTAGCTGGCACTAAGCCAGTGTCCTAGGGTGTCACTTGGTGAAGGCTTCCAACAGTCAGTGTTTTGACGGGAATCTCATATAGGGCAGAAAGCCTCTAAGACCCCAAAAGAGTATAGTCTGATGGTGGCATGGTGACAGGAAGTTAGGGAAAGCTATTTGGGGGTAGGAAAGTGGTCCTTTGACCTCAATATGCACGGAGTCAGGAGGCCTGGGTCTAGTTCTGCCATTGATTAGCTGTGGGCTCTCTGGAGCCAGTGACTTAATTCCCCAGTGTTTTTCTTTCCTCGTGTGCAGAATGACAGGTGGATTCCTGAGTTCTTTCCTGCTTCAGAATTCTAGGTTTTCCCATTTGTTGGATCAAGATGAGATGGAAAATCGCTGTTGATCTCTCTTGGCCACGGGCCGCTGACCGCTGCTCCTCTCTGCTTCCTCCACAGATGAATACCTCAGAGTTCTCAACGTGGGTGTGGCCGAGGTGAAGAAATCCTTCCTCGGGCCCTTGGCCCCCTCCTGCAAGATGGTGCGGATTATGAGGCAGTTTCTGTACCAGGTCCTGCCTGAGGACTCCTACAAGGCCGCCACGGGGAAGCTCCACGTGAGCCTCACCCGGTTGACGGATGGAGAGAATGTCGTGGTTTCAGAGTACACATCCAAGGAAGAACTCATTGAGGCAAGGGGCAGGGACTGAGGGGGTGG